TAAAAGTACAGTCACATGGGACTTGTCAATTTATGTCTCAGGATGTCGGGCGCAGTGGCGCAGTGCCCTGATCGTGTGCAGCGAGCCTTTCGTAAACAAGCGCATTTGCCAGATCTGTACGCACCATAAGAGATTGCGTGTCGTTTACCACCAGGCGAACGACTGGTTTACAAGATTTGCGTATAAAAAGATGTACAATGTTTGCCCGTGTCTTTTCTATATTTGTGTACAAAATGATTGGATTGGACAGCTTATTACCGAGGCGTAAACTAATGCTATAATGTTTTGAATGGTGAGATTGACAATTTGAAAGTGGTATCTTGGGTGGGTCTGTTTGTCCCTGACCGATATTTGCGTGGCGGTGGTGGGTGTGTAATGGAAGATATGACAACAAATAATCTATTTTCACTTGGTATAATAACATTTGATATAATTTCTAAGGATATAATCACTCACTGTATGTAATCAACAAAAGGTATAATTTTAATGTGTATAATGAACCTTCAGTATAACAAACATTAGATATAATTATTAAGTGACATAATGAACACTGTACTGCGGAGGCGCGTGCGTCACTTGCTCGCGGCGCTGCGCTCGCGCACTTGCAGTGGCGCCTCGGGCGACTTCTTTGCTTAACCGATTGCTCACACAACAGTCACGTGCCGACATGTTCCATGACAGTTCAAACGAATTCTTGAAGTATACTGTTTTATTCCTTAATGAATTTTTATAAATCCGAAGTAGAGTACCTTTGTAATTTAACCATAATTAAGTTTATAATGAACTATATAATTGACTAGCATATAAATGTTTTAGCTTCCGCTGTAAACTTATATTGTGAATAAATAAATAAATAATTTAGCTGCGTCGAATGAGTGCTCAATCCTTACAAATTTTAGATATTAGGTACTTTCTGCTGACTTTCACGCCATTAAGTTAGGTTAGGCCTGGGTGGCAAAACGGGGGCTTTGTCACCCACTGGGTAAGGGTTCACGGGTTGGTTGGCGTGCCAAGTATTCCTGGCATGCCACTAACGATGGAGTGAGGACGGTAAAGTCTCCCAGAAGTGGGTCCGCAGTCGCGGACAACCGCAGGCGGGGTCGTGGATCGTAAACCACGTAATCGCAGCCCCGTTCCATGCGGAGTGTGGGAATACCCGGGGGTTTTTAGTAAGTAGCAGTCTCACATAACACACATGACGGATTTTCCCCCGGAAAGAAAAAAAGGCCATGGTTAGGCCGCACTGCCAGGTTATTCAATATTGACTTACCAATTATGGTGTTGATGCTTTGTTCAAATGCAATGTAATCTTTCCATAGTGTTTCTATGCCAATAATCGGTGTGATCACAGCCCTTTGATACACCTAAAAAAAAACCTTGATATACTTTGGTACTATTATAAATCATAAATACAAAATATTAGACAACGGCACATTCGTTGCTCTGATCCCAAAGTAAGTAGCTTTTGTTATGGAAGTCGGAAACAACGACGGTATCACAAACACCCAGACTTGAGACAATATAGGAAAGTTAGTTTTCTACATCGACCCGGCCTGGAATCGAATCCGTGACCTTAGAGATGGCGACAAAAAACAAACATTAATTATCGCCTGCCGTCGCCACCTCTGTCTTGTTCAGGATATAGTTTTCTCAAATAGTGAAATTTATTTTATAATTTGAAGTAAAAGAAATAATTTAGACTAGCTACGTTATTCTGCTGTCTAGCGATGCGGGATGCCGTGGGAGACTTTCCAAAAGCCGAACATGCGTGTTCATTTTATTCACATTCATAGTATTCATGTACCTACCTTCCTGACAGCTGAAATCTTCTGATTCTCCGCGTAAGACCCGACGGCGTCGACGCTTTTCAAAAAAGTTATGTAGTCATTCCAGATCGGGTACGCGTGGATGTCCAAACCTATTTTGTCCAGGGCAAAATCGTATGCTTGTGCCATTTTCTCTCTGTAATACATTTATACCATCAGATCGGTCGTTTGGCACATTTCATTGACTTACAAATAAATGGACGACGGGTCTAATACAAGAACCACGAAAAAAATGTCCCAAGTCAACCTATTACAACGTAGTGACATGTCCAGGAATATGAAAAAGCTAAAACGTTGAATTTCAATTGTAATGTCATCGCAGTACTCTCTAATTTTGCTTGCTTCGCTGTCAATCGAACAAACGAAGACTAGAGCGTGAATGACGCTCTGTATACGATTTTAACGTCCTATAAGTTCGGACACTTTTTAACGCGGACCCGACGTCCATATAATTGTAAGACAATGGCACATTTATTTATAACGTAGTTGAGGTTTATGTATTTCATTAAGGACAACTGCTTAGGCTTGTAACAGACTGACTGAATGTTTGCAGTTAATGCGTGAAGTCGTAATCAACTTCATGCAGCCGAGGGTTACCAATCAGTAGTCCGAAATGACATTTTCCAGAAATTTTAGAGAACAGTCGAATTTTCATAACCTCGAAAGTAAATTTTGAGAGGAAAATGTTTTTTCTTTTCAAATCAAATCAAATCAAGTTAAATCATTTATTGTGTACGCACGTCTACAAGGTCTTATTTAACATTGTTGTGTCAGTACGTATTGCCAATTTTACGGCATACAATTTACATAATTAAATTAATTTAACAGTATACTACTACATTTTAATTACAAAATGTCAAATCTTAATTTTAATTTTAATTCTTAATTATATTTATGTCATAATTTTGTGGTGGTTAACTATTATTCTATGTTCTTGTCATTTAAGTAATCGCTGACTTTATAATACGCTTTCCCAGTCAATAAATTAAATAATCGCTTTTTAAAATTGGCATTGTCGGTAGTCTCAAGTATATAATTAGGCAGCTTACTGCATAGTTTTGGCGCCATCGCACAAATATTATCATGAAAGAGGGTAGTCTTACAGGCAACCAGTTTCAATTTATTGTGTCTTCGTGTACTTTCCACCTTGCTGAAGAGTGTGAGATTTCTCCGAACAAAAATAACCGTTTCAAATATATATATTGAAGGAACTGTTAATAATCTCAGTTTTTGAAATTGCTTTTAAACCTAACCTAACCGTACCTAATCGTGTATTTACGATAAACATCCAACATATCCTTAAAGAACGACGTTTCGTTATAATTCGGCTTTCGGTGTAACGAAAATTCGAACAAACGTTACTTCGGGAAAAAATATACGAGTTTGTGATAGGTTACCGCAGCCGAGACCTCGATTACACGAAGTCGATATCGACTTCTCGCATTTCATTAATATTTAACACACATTTCAACAGCGTTATCAAGTACATACAGTATTGTAAACACCATAAGTGCTATGACTCAATACCGATGAGTAAATCTCTGAGCAGATACTAACTTTCTACATAGTTAAAAATTAAGCTAAACTAATCTTAGATCCTTGTGAGAGTTCGTCCAGGGAAATACTGCCACCTTACCTATTTCTGCTGCCAAGCAGTAATGTTAGCATTACTGTGTTCCGGTTTTGAAGGTTAAGGGTGCTGGTGAAATTACAGGCATATGGGACTTGTCAACTTGTCCCAAAAAAAAAATTATCTTATATTTTATATAATATTACATATTATTTAAAAAAAAAATAATATTTTATATAAAAAAAGTTCATCTATCTTCGTGTCGTGCATTCCACAACTCGCTAAAAGCGGTCGGTCACCATTACGCCTCACACGGTTACGCACAACCACAAATTACACCCAAACTCACGATAGAAATAAATATAGGCCATACAAATGTTTCTCACGGTTCGGGAATCGGACCCAGGACCACTACGTGGCAGTCTAGCATGGTAACCGTTCGACCAAAGAAGCAGTTAACAATAATAATTATATGTATATAACAATAATACATAATAATAAACATTTAATATAGTACGAAAGTTTATAGTATAAATTTAATGGTTGAGTGGTTCAAGAATCATTTTCTACAACCAAGGGTCGAACAATCATTAACTTCAGAGGATATCTCCACGTATTTGGTATGTTTTTGGTGGAAATAGGCCGATGAGATTTCAATTCTCGTCTCGTATCGCCTCGCCAGTGAAAACCACCTTAATATACCAGTTCGATGAAAAACGCAGGAGCGGGAGTAGGGGTCTTAGGGACAGTGGGAAAGAACACTTACATATTTGAATTTACTATGTTAACCAAAGAGAGATCTAAAAAGTGTTAGATAGTACAGACGGCAGCACATCAGGTTTTTACACAGAACACATTGACGGATCTTGTTCCGTTGCACTGTAGCTTGATTTTGATTGCCTCTTCCGATCGGAAACTGCGTCTTTTCCGAATCGAGGCGCATAACTGCGATTCACAACTGGCCGATCGGAAACTTGACAGTTATAATCGGAACAATAGTTGATATAAGATATAGTAGGAATCAAAATCAGGACGCTGGAGCGGTATTCGAACAAAAGTGTATAAGCTTGATGTGTTGTTGACTGTACAACAAAAATTTTTTGCTAAATTTATTATGTTTCGTAAAAAGTTGTGGAGCAAAAGTTGTTGTTTATTTAGTCATTTGACGCTGTCAGTGTTTTACAAACAACCCTGTCATATTATTATGATGAATTGAAAAACAAAACAAAGAATAAAATAACACACACTGAAAAAACAAATTACGTACTTGTAAGTAGGTAGCATGCACTTAGTCTCCTTCACGTAGTTAAGATAGAGTCTCCACAGCTCGATGTTCAGGATCTTCATAAGACAGCGCTGGAACAGCTGCAGCGTGACAGACATGGAGGCGTGTTACTACAACTTTAGTCGACAGTCAAATAATCATTTATTCTATACGTAAAATTTTTTACATTTGAAAACGTCATAATTTAGGCTACTGCTCGTTGAGAAGATCGAGCAAGAAACTCTAGAGATTGCTCTTTTCAAATAAATTAAAATGCTAATTTTAAATCTATAAATATATGTGTGGAATCTAGACTCATGTTGTCTTTACATACATCTTTATCTAACACGTAGTCTACAATTTTGTAATAGGATCTTTCAATTATAATACTTTTAATGTAAGTTTTATGCTTAGGAAAAGGTAATCTTAATATATGCTCCGGAATCTTATTGTAAAAAACGTATACAGTTTCCCATAAGAGAATCGTTTACCTTAGTTAAACGAAATCGTGGTACCGTGAGTTTGGACTTGGTTCTAAGGTTAATATTATGGATATCTTCTTTCTTAACGAAATTAGGTATATTACGGGTTTACAAAATATTTGCGTAAATGTGCCAGAGTCATGATACCAGTCCTTAAACTTTGAAACCCGAGAACCTAAACGGTGCACAGAACGAATCGCTCGTTTTTGCAATACAAATATGGTTTGAATATCTGCCGCTTTACCCCACATGAGAATCCCGTAGGACATTATACTATGGAAGTAACTAAAGTAAACTAGTCTAGCAGAAGCAACATCGGTAAGCTCACGTATTCGGACTCCGTATCCGTATGCTGCAGGTCTTAATCTGCTGGCCAAGGAAGATATTATTCATTTCTATGATTGGACTAGTCGATTTTACGTTAGAAAACTCAATTTTAACACTTTGTCTTCTTGGCATTGAGCAATAAATTGGTTGCTATAAAAACTTTATTATATTAAAATAATATAATATAAAGATTATAAAATCTTTGTAAACTGCATTTTAAATTAAGTACAGCTTTAGTTCATATTTTAAGGGCGAGTTCAGAAGATGAAACAAAGTACCTTTTAACCATAGGGTTAATTCTGACATTACTAATAAAAACCCTTAAAAATTACAGTAATGCTCCATGTACAGAAGACAGCATATCAAGCTACTAATTGAAGGATCTGGTTCCGTTGCTCTGGAGGAGGTATTCGAACAAAATTATATAGTAAGACGTTAGTTCCATCTAAGTCCCTATCTACTGACCCGAGAGATAGGGAGTTCCGGGGAGACTACGGCGTGCTCTTACACCCCTGATACACCTTCACGGGCATCTCTAGCGACCCCGGACTATGGGTATGGATTCGCCGGGGCTTGTGGTAGCTGCAGAGACAGACATATTGGTCTGCTCTAGTAGCTGTCTAGATGGGGGGCTAAGGCTAGGAAACGCGCGGGACACGTGTTGGAAGCTATGTCCGGACTTATCACAGGACACTGCGACTGACATCTCCGGTACTAGCCGAAGAGCTCAGGAACAGTCTTCGGTCCCATCAGCCGCGTAGCTTTTTGGGAACTGGAGAGACACTTCAGCGCAGGGAAGTGAGCGTGCCTACAGCTTCGCCACCAAAGAGGAGATTTGGTAGGGAACGTTAGAGTCAACGCATTAGCGGTGGCAACCGCTAGTTGTGCAACGCGCAACGGGAAGTGAGCGTGCCTACAGCTCTAATACCTACCTGGAAAATAGGGAGGGTACTGTACGTGCAACCGGGGCGGCTTATACATATAAGGCACTAGCCTCTTGAGAACCGGATGAAGTCAGTGACAACGATCTGTGACAACCCTTTACACAGGCCGATTAATGTGTAGAAGATATAATAATAATATGTAGAAAGATCAACCATCATTATACCGCTGGTATATGGTCGCTTCTTTTTTGATGAACTAAGTAAATGTCTCGAAGTCGTCGTCGTTCAGCTATTTACCACTAGATGGCAGCACATTGACTGAATTCCAATATAAAATCACAACGTCGTAACGTGCAATAGTAGGAAATTTCAACGATATGCCAACAAGGTAAAGTTTAAGTTTAAAGTTTAAGAAACTACGACCATTCATTATAAAGACTTCACAGTGTTTGAATTTTTTAATTATCATGAATTTTTTTATTTGAAATTTACCATGAGCTTTTCGGTGAAGAAAAATATCGTATCTGAATACATCTGCACAACGATTTAAGTGTGTGTGAAGTTACAACTTACTAAGTTGAAACTACCGCCCAAGCTCTCTCCCCGTGACAGGAGGCGTGAGACCAGAAGTGGGACTATATATAAGCTAACTTTTATTATTATGTTATTTGATTATCGATGTCACAACATTACAATTTAAGGGTCAACACTACTTGTTTTATTGAAATTAGTTACCAGAATGTGCGCGAAACCGGATTCATCCCCTAATTTGCCATCCTTAGAAGTGGAATAAAAAAGAATCAAAATTGAGAAGAGAGAATTGAAGTTAAATTGAGAACCTCCTTTTTTTAAGTCGGTTAAAAATAGTATTAACTAAACAAAATAATAAACATTCCCTGGACGTCTAGTAGCTGCACGTCCAATTCCCTGAATGACGTCTTACCGTTGCAAGCCCCCAACCACCACTGGGTAGAGACCCGTGCCCGTGTCACAAAGTCACAAATTAATTCAAAAGACAGAAAGAAGAAATGTATACGCTTATACTATAAGATTCTGTATTATGAGGTCCTTACCTATTAAATTTTGCGATTGCAAATACTGGGAAGTTTCAAGTTCGACTTTTCAAAGAAATTAAATGACATTTCGTCTCTATTTCTGGTTATGTACTCGATGCGTTATGTACAATATCGTTACAAAAATTCGCTTCCATTTCGTTCCGCCGCAATATAAATTAAGCTTTACTTTGGAATACGAGTTTTGTCGTGGCTCCAACGCAGCAGAGACCTCATATAACATTTCAATTGAAGACATTGTGAAGTATGTAGACCGCAAGCGGTTAGAACACCCAAAGTTGAAGAAAGATGTATTTGTAAAGGTAAGCTAGTGTTGTCGAATTTTGTTTGTGTGAGACCACTATGACACTACGCGATATTGCATTTACACATCAGACCTATTTGAACAATATCTATAAACTGCAGTTATGATTACAAAAGTTAATTGTTCCTTACAACGTAAAATCAAAATTTAAGGCTAACTATGACAAATTATTTGGTTACTGTAGAGTTTTAAATGTATTTGATAAAGTTAAAATGCTATTCGTAAGTCAGGAATACGATCATATCAAACATAATCTGCGAAAGCGAATGCGCTATGAACATTTGCGCTCGCTTTCATACATACCACGTTACAACGTATACTTTGTCGGGGTACAATAACGTGTATGGAATGCGCAAGCCGGACTACATGCTACCAGAAATTCTGAGCTATCTACCAGGAATAGTGCTAAGTGACATTGCGGCAGAGAACAAAAAAATAACGAGAACGGACGCTCTCCGCCCCTCTCTAGCTTTAGATACCGCACCACACCCCGCACATTGACTGAACGGCAACAAGGCTGCCGGCGAGCCGTTTTCGCGCTAAGAAAGGCTGCCGGCGAGCCGTTTTCGCGCTAAGAAGGTTTTGATATTTGGATACAGTTTTCATTTATTCATTACGAAATTTGTACGTTAATATATCGTCGGTTAAAAGGTAAAACTCACTAATAGCCTAATTGGCCAAAGGGAGATAATTAAGATTTTGTATTTTTTCATTATGAAAAATCACTAAAGGACTGGTATGTATTAAAACATGAAGGACACCACAGACTTACTGAATTTTTCTTGTCATAGATGTTCTTCCCAATAAAGCAAAATTGAAAAAATCTAGTTTTTGAACAAAATGTCACTTAATGAGTTTTACCTTTTAACCGACGATATAACATCATTGTACGTTATACTATTTGTAATGGTCGTGAATTGTGCTGCGGCTGTTTATCGTCATCTAAACGAGATAAGGAGAGTAGTTTTTTTCGTTTTCCAAAAGATGAAACAAAGAAAGTAAAAAAAAAACTTATGTCTGAGACTCATTCAGTTATTGTTTTCTTCATTTATTTAGTGCAGAGTAATTTATAATATGTAATAGAGATTATTATATCAATATAATGAGACGCTATACATTCGTGAGCCAGTAGACAAGGGTTCTCGAATTTTCGATTTGTGTTGCCAATAAATATTACTTACCTACGTAGTGAATATACCTAATTATTAACTAGGTAATGATAAACTTGGACACGCAATTTCATAATATTTAAAAGTACCTGTCCAAAGTATAATATAACATTTTAAGCGCTTTTAATATACTTTTAAAAAAAATTTTCAATATTATTCTAGTTAGTGAATTAAAGAAAAATATAATATTATATGGATATAAATAGCTAATGAACATGTGTAATTATTCCGATTCTATTATCAGAATTATGGATAACAGATTCGCGTTAGAATTGTCGCTATGTTATAAATATAAATAGTACGAAAACTGATGGGTAACCCTGCCACTTCACGCACACATTTGCGAGTGTGCAGTTAGCGTCTTGCTGTATTAATTAGTAGAATTTTCGATCGTTGTATGGAGTGTCCGGGGTGTGATTGCGGCTGATGTCAAGAAATGCAAAACTGTTTTAAAGAGACATTATCTTGATTTGTAGTATATCTATAGTACTTATGTAAATGTAGATGTATACCCTAGAATTAATTAATATTATAGTGACTTGTAAGTTAATTTAAGTGTCGAGCTTGTTAGCTCATCGCCAGGTGGTTAAACTACAAAGTTTTTACCTAGCGATAAAGAAGAGTCATTTTTGTAACCACTTCAAAAAAAAGGAGGTTCTCAATTCGACTGTTTTTTTTTGTATGTATGTTACGCGATACTCGGCATTTTTGAACCGATTTTGAGGATTCTTTTATTGTTGGAAAGAGGGTACCTCAGATGTGGTCCCATTTAAATTAGAACAAAATATTCCACCTCTAAGGGTGGCAAAGTAGGACACGAATGACTTTTGACGTCGGTTTTTTTTGTACTCTGTACTGTTTTTTTGTAAAATTTGTTATTGAAATTGAATAAATAAATAAGATAAATTTAGTGCATGCCTTTTTGTAGTGGTCTATTCTTGCGCCCTTTAAATGACAGAAATTTTTAATTGAGAAATAATGCTTATCTAGAACGCTATCGTTTCCCGAGTTATATGCTCTAAGATCTCACCTATAATGCCTATCCACTACCGCCTTAAATGTTTATATTTTCCTCGGGTCAAAATATAACATATAATAAAAGACCCAAAATATACTAAACTTTTTGTCGTCAGAAGAGTTTTGTCGAGCTCCTAGGAATTTTGTTTTTATTGAATGAAAAGGGAAGATAAGTCCTATTTCTTCTAAGGCAGTGTTTTCTAACCCGGCTTCTAGTTCACAGATATACGGGAAATAGAAAAGAAGTAGGCGCGGACTGAGAAACATAGATGAATTGGGGTGCACAGTAATTAAGAGCCGATATCTAAGCTCGAATTCTAATTTTTCCAAGCAAAATGTATCCTATTCAAATATAAGTTCTGAAATAAAGACAAGGACACTGGCTTTATTTCAGAATTATTTTTTTATAATTAAAGCCATTAAAAAAATGTACATCGTATAGTACACGTGTTCTATTTACTTCACTTTATATATACATATATAAAACCTTTTTTTTTTTTAATTTTTTATATACAAAGTACCATTGCATACAGCGGTTTTCTAGTAAAATTTCGAGGTAAGTTTGTTCGTGGAATCGTGTTTTCACACCGTATAGTAACCAGTGCATATCCTCAATTTTACTTATATTTGTTCCTAAGTGATAGATGCAACACTTTCACTGTTATGCGGTAAAGACTCTTAACAGTAATTTTCAGGTAAGTTTTTTGTAGTCAATTTTGGTGACAATTTTATTATTTAATTGCTCGAATATATCATCGTGAGACATTAAAGCATATTTCAGGTTACCACACTCGAATATTAAATAATACTTCATGATGATATTATATAAATATTTAAATAAAAATAAATTGTCACCGAAATAATATACAAAAAAACATACCTGAAAATTACCCTTAAGAGTACCTACCGCAATCTTTTTTTTTAAATTTTTTTCAAGTAACGGGACGAATACTTGGGCCTGACAAGCTCCACGCCTACCCATAACAGTTGCAGTGCCACTCAGAACTGTAATAGTAAAAATTTCAGGGGCACTGCCACTGCGCCATCGCCTTGAGACATGAAGTTGACAACTCCTACGTGCCTTATAGCAGGACTCGGTCACTCGCTCAAGGCGCCTATCGCCGAGTGTACCGATGTCGGCACAAGCACTCACGAGTCTTTCATTTATGAGCATTTGGGTCCGCACGATTGCACACGGTGGGTAACGTTATTTTCACTTCTTTGAACGCGTCTGCAGGTTCCTTTTTCTTCGTAGCGAGCGCCTGGTGTCATTTGGTCAGATTTAGTAGGCTATTACGGCAGGTATTTTAAATTTTGTATGAGAATGATGTATTTTTTTATTATTATTTTTTTTTTTTATTGTGACTCGGCAAAATGACTGCACCGCGCCTGATGGAAAGTGCGAATACAGTCCAGAGATGAGAGTAACGGATGGAAAACACAAATATCTTCACTTCGTCACTATCATTTTGCCGGTCTGGCCAAATGCTTCTTCACACTACGTTTGAAGGACCCGATGTTATAGAGGGGAGGGAATACATGCGCCGGGAGTTGGTTCCACAATTTGATGGTTCGGCATAAAAACGAATTGCCAAACTTTTTAGTGCGGGACGGTATTGAACTGACCGTCCATCTGTGGCAACGCAGTATCTGTTACATTAGACCTCGCGCCATCATGCAGCGATTGCAGTAGTTTTTTTATTTTATTTGCAAAAATTGCACTTTTAAAAGTCAATTTTGAAGTAGGATGTATATAACCATACTTTAAAATTGACTATCTTCTAATTCAAATTAAAGAGAAATATTTTTTTTAAATAGTTGTTTGGCCCCGGTGTAAAGTCCTATTTTTCGAGATACGACAAGATCGCTTTCCGGCGTCGAATTCAAAAAGCATTGTGTGCATTTAATATGTGTAATTGTTAATTGTTGAAACTGATTAGAACCAATCAGTAACTATATTAGAGTGGTATTATTAAAATCGTTATACCACCATGGTAGAGGGCCTACCATTCATAGGGGAATCTACGACTGCTGCCACGTATGCCACACGGGCGGAGCATTAAAGCAATTACAAACATTCAATTAAATTGGAATGTCATAAATTGTCTAAATATTACGTATGTGATTAATTGATTAAGTGTAAACTAAATTGGCCTACTTCACTGTCTATTTTAGTTATATGTGTATGTATAATGTTACAGTTTACCATGAGTAAATAAAATAAATAAATGTCCTTCTGTTTGTAATCGCCTGCTTACTACCCTTGGAACACAGCTTATTATAGTAACAGGCTTTGGACAATAATCTGGACAGAAGGTCTCAAAAAAGCTGGACAGGTCCGGACTAGGGCTTACAGAAACGGTCCGATACCTAAAATTTTGATTCCCGGCGCTGGGCTCAGCTCAGTGCCGGTATTTCCGATATTTTTTGAGAAACTTAAACTGTAACTGCGTTTTTTGTGTTTTTTAACAAAGGTTTTGTTTGAAAAAACAAGTATACGCGATTTAAATCCGGAAAAATAAGTTAATTTCCTATGTAACCAGTAAGTATGCGTTTTTCGTACCTATTCAATAATTTATGTAACAATAATACCATAAATAATAAAGAAAAATAATCAATACCATAAAAAAATAAAAATAATCATACAGCTTTTTATTGAAAATATCTATTTAAGAGATAATTACTATTAAATGTAACATATCGAGATATCGTAAAACCACATACTAGTTGTAGTAAAAGTTTAAGTAGCATTATAATGGCAGTAACGTGCGCCCGTGCGAAGTTGCCAACGAGCAATATTTGTTATAAGTTCAGTAAGTAGGTAGTTTCTTGTTAAAGCCGGGAGTTTATAATCGCAGTACCGGGACTGATTGAACCTCGCCAGTACCGGTATTTCCAGAATTTCCGGGAATTCCCAAGGAAGCAAGCCTTAGTCGGGACTAGACCGTCTCATCTAGCGCCCAGTTACCACTGGGGGGCCCCCGACGTAGTTAGTAATTAAAACGTATAGGGTAAGATACATGTCAAAAGTGATCTTGTAAGGCACAAGGTTATTTTTTTAACTTTCTATAGTGACTAGAATTCTACCTTTACGTTTGATAGCTCTAGTTATGTAGGTAGTTTTTTAAGACCTCTGATTGGTAGTGGACTATATAATGGAGATTTTTACAAGATAGTGCCTCAGAAAATCGCCTCCAACACGTCTGAACACAGACACCCTAGCCGAAAAAAAAGATTCCATTTTGTGTTCTTTTCTTTATTATCACTTACAATATTATTATCTACTATTTAACTCACAGCCAATAAACACGTGGCAGTTAACAGAATACGGTTAACTGTAGAGTTTAAACTAATAAAAGTAGGATCCTTATTTATGCCTTAATTTTTTAATGCCAGACTTTATTGCCGGTGAGTTTACTTACTTCAAAAGCAAGCAAATGTTTACTTACTTTGTAATATCACAGTTAAACAACTTAAAACTAATTTACCTTATAATATACTAACCTTTTCTACTCTTTCAAAGTTCCTTGCTTTCATCTGTAAATGATAGAATGACAATTCAAAAATTTGTTAAGTTAAAATTGTGATATGTTATAATAAGATATTGGAATAGATCGAGTATACGTATCTAAATTTCAAGAGCGAATAATACCTCCCTCTGAAATCCCAAAATGATAAAAAATAAACAAAAAAAAAATGCTTCTAAATACAATGCCATAGTGAAATTATTGTTATTATTATTGATGCAAAAATCGAACAACACAAAGAAATTTCCTACATCTGACTGGACATAAACCAGCATCTGTTGCTACATCGGGGCCACAGTCAAAGGTTATCAGATCATAGGAATTTTTGTTTGTGTTGCCAATCTTTGCATCAATAATAATAACAAACTCGTGGAGTATCAATATCATGGTAGTAAAAATATCAAAGTATTCAATAAAATTAAACATGAAAATTATTGCTAGCAAAGGACTATCCACACACATCAGGGCTGTGCCTGGGACGTGGACGGGGCGTGCTAGTTTGTATGAACTGCAGGCCCGTCCCGAAGCCGGCCTGGACATGGACATGTGTGAACGAGTTCATACAAAATGTACGCAACGATATTTTTTTGAGCCCCTGACGGAGCACGGCCCGTCTACGTCCACGCCCGGATATGTGTGGATAGACCTTTACATGTCAAGAATCCAATAAAAACAATATAATCAAATAATTTTGAATTTTCGAAGGAGATATGGGATGCTCTTTAAGTGTTATTTTCTTGAAGTTTAGGTAAATACACTCTGCCTTTTCTAATCATACTGTAGTTAATTAAAGATTATTAAACTTTCATGTTTTTCATGTTTCTGGCAACACTGTAAATAAGCTAGCACTTCTCATATTACAGACATGGGGCTTCATGTTATTATTATCATCTATTTATTGAGCATTGGCTATATAACCATCAGACTAAATAAATAATTAAGAAACTCGAAACATAATAACCATAAAATTAAAAATTAATTTGTGTAAAAACTGTAACAACTAAATCGCACCCTTTTTTCCCCAATGCTGTATGTTCTATGCACAGACAATGAATTGTCTATACTAACAATACTTAATTTACCAGTAAAATGCAGAAACTGTCTGTCTGTTCCAATCCATTTTGAACAAAAAGTAAATAAACTTGTTTGGTTAAAATTCTAAAACAATCACACAATAAATCAAATAAGTAACACTTTCACATATATTTTGAAGATTTTGACTTGATATATCATCACTTTTTCCAACAATATTCATTTGAATAGCATCGTAAAATCATATTCGAAAAATGGTAGTCCAAAAATGAGGTTATTATTCATCTATACTTCTATGACTTGCCTATGGTTGCATAGTGCAGTTCGCAAAAAAAAAAAACATATGGCTCAATCAATTAAAGTTTAGTAATTGATTATTAAATCGAACATTTCAATCGCTATCAAACGAGTACCTAAGGGTAAGGATTTGAAGGAGGATTTAAATTGAAATTTTAAATATGCTTATATAGGTTATGTAAGGAAAACCGCGAGTATGACTCAATTGAACCAACAGATTCATTCAGTTAATTGATCGATTTGTAGTTGGCGTTACAATTGGCCATCACTAAACTGTTTATGGTTGGGTCAGTGGCTTGTTTGTTTACTTTTTGTTCAAAGTGGATTGAAACGAAGTATAGATTGTATTTTCAGTGTTTAAATTAATATTTCGTAGATTTTTCTGGGGAGAATGTTTCAAATTTTAATGACTATTCAATTCAATTTTATGTTAAACTTAATTTAAACGAAACATTTCAAACAACACAAATATTTCAAAACTGTTGGTAAAACCTAAAAAACATGCTTGCCAGATAAATCTATGAAATGTTTCTACATAACACTGGCAACAGTGTGTTGGTAGGGAATGACTGCTACACTGTGGAATGTGCTAAACAAGTCAAAATGGCTACCATAAATACATCTTTTCTCATACAGGGCAAAATTGAACAACTACCCTTTGGACTAACAACACATGAGAACAGTCCTCCATCCATCTTAGATATTGATTAAGGGCATCGAAACAAAAAAAGGAAGTTATAGAAGAAATAACTAACCTCTTGTTCAATAAAAATTTTCCAAAATCTCCCAGTAGTCGGAAAGGCTGCGATGAGCTTCTCGTACATAGATCGTACTTCCTGTATAGGTCTAGTCTGAGCCTCTCTGATGAGTAAAGACCACGAGTCGACATCGTAAATGTTAGCTTCAACAGCTCGTTGGGCTCGAATCAATCGATCATTTCCCCAGTCCTATAGAGCACAAAATAAACACTTTTATGCGCTAATTTTACTATAAAGACGAAGATAAATTAATGCATTTGTTGAAGAAATATTAAAATTAATACTTGTAATTGTAAAAACTCACAATTTCAGGGTTTTCTTCCGCCGGCGTCGTCGTGGTCATTTTCAATTTGTGGTTATGTATAAATTTTAAATGAAAGGAAAGTTATGGTTCGGTATTTAAATATTATTATTATATGCCTTAGTTTGCAAATAACACTCGTTTTTGTTGGTTAATATTAGTATCTCATACAAAACAAACACAAGTAACTAACGAAAGGAACACATTGAACACAAGGCGAGGAAGCCATTAAAATAAGTTGTAGTTGTAATTATGCTCCATGGAAAAAGGTAAGCGTATTGTTTGATTCGAAATCATTCATTCATTTCAGTTTCTAAACGAAAACAGAGTTGCTATTTTTAATAAAGAAAACCAATACATAAATATACCATGAATATCGCGATAGTATTATTATATTTTATTTGTTGAGCATTGGCTATAGAGTCATCAGCAAGCAACAAAGGATGACACTTACGGTCGTATTCTAGAACTCTATTCAATGCTCAAGTCAGGATTGCACTGGCAACACAAGCACTGGAAATACGACCCTAATGGCAAGGACTTGAGTATGATTTACAGTGCTCACTGCAATACTCAAGTCCTGACTTAAGTATTGAGTAGAGTTCTGGAATACACCCTAAAAATTAAAAATTAATTTGTGAAAAAACTGTAACTACAAAAACCCGCCATTTTCTTTTTTTATATCGCGATAGTTACAAGCTTACAAGATTAAAAAAAATAAATGTCACTTTGTCAAACGGTAAAAAGGCGGCGCTTTGCTTGGCCGATTTCTTATATTATTTTCCTATAAATATTAAACAAAAATGTTATTCTATTCCTTCTTCAAGTCCTTAGTCGGCAAAGACGTGGTTGTGGAACTTAAAAATGATCTCAGTATATGTGGTACACTTCATTCTGTGGATCAATATTTGAATATAAAGTTGTCTGATATTAGCGTCATAGACCCAGACAAATATCCTCATATGTTGTCGGTGAAAAACTGCTTTATTCGAGGGTCTGTGGTTCGCTATGTCCAATTACCAGCCGATGAAGTAGATACTCAGCTTCTCCAGGATGCAGCGCGGAAGGAAGCGACGGTTTCTACAAGATAGTTTTCATAACCTCACTTTTTGTGTTTGGATTTCACAGTGCGGTGTATTTTGGACTTACAAGATTGTATATATTATTTCTAAGTACAAGTTTCGCAATAAAAGTGTTTAAATTTAAGTTTTTGGTAACTTTTATTTCTATGCTGTTCGAAAATAAAATCAACTTTCGTGGCTTACGTTGGATTGAGAAGTTTGCGGTTTAGTATAGTCGTTTTTTGTTTATTTTCCTGTTGCACCCCTTTAAATATCCGATATTTGTGTAGTAGTCTGTGTGTACCACAACATTTTTGATATATCTATGACTACAACCTGTAAATTATTGTAAAAGGTTCATAAGCAATATTACTTTTAATTTTAACTACAAATTTTGTACAGCATAAACCAACTGAATGAAAAGAAACAGTGAAATTGTTTAATTTATGACCTTATTGGAACATTATGATTGAACCTGTTATTATTATTATTATTATTATTATTACTATTATTATTATTATTATTACCTTATTGGAACATTATGATTGAACCTGTTATTATTATTATTATTATTAATAAAATATAGAGAAAAGTATATAATAATAATAATAATCATTCATTTGAAATAAAAATAGTATATAAAATCACTAGAAAAACAAATAATACACTTATTGAATGAATTGTACTTTTTTGCCAAATCAGTTAGTTGGGTCATAAGGACTGAGTAATGGGCAGGAAAGTTACCAAAGTATTTTCATCGCTTGTGAACACCAAATAACAAATCTTGATTTTCAATTCAATTCTTTATTGCATTTACCATGTTTAATTTTTTGTGCGTGTACATTTATTCATATACAAAATTATTAAAACTTACAATGAAAGCAATTTCTTTCTCAGGCAAAAACATTCTTGAAATGCATTTTTTCTAATATAGCTTTTGTATAGACCTTTGCCCAGCAGTGGGACATAATGGGTTAATTAAGGAAGGTTTTGTATGGTGGAGTAAGTGAAAAAAATTAAATCACTTTAATTACAGTGCCACCTATTGACTCAAACGTTAAAGAAAAATGATTGCCATCTATTGTCAGATAGCAAAACTAATTACTGTTGATGGCCGTATAGTTACTTCCAAACATAAAGGTAGGTAGCGCTGACTATGCGTCGAGTAAACTGTGATACCAGCTTCCAGAATCAGAATTAATTAAAGTAGTAGAAAAAAGAATATTATGTTTATTCAAAAATGATTGTGAATTAATACAAAACATATTTCTTTTTAAAGTTTAATATTGTAGACGATAAAATTATAAAATCGTATTGATAATGTGGCACAAATATGGAATTTTGTTAAGAAAAAGCTTTTGTAATAAAACAGTTGCAGGCTAATTTGGATGTTGACAACATTTTTACTCTATTCAAGTCGCTTGCTTCGCCTACCGCTCGCTCGTTCGTTGTTTGATTGTTGTATATTATGCATATTTGTCTATGCATAATTTATCTCGGTTTCCTTTAATAAATTCTCTATAAATAAAAGATTTTACTATCGCCGCGAGTGATGCCAGATGCCTAAGTCATTTTAAGAGACAATGGATTCTATATTTTGTGATAAACACGAAATGTTGGTCCTGTGTTTTATCGACTCGGACATGTGATTACTTATTTTAATGTAAATATTGAATAGAAATTATCGCTCAAAATGGACATGAAAGGTTGTAAACGTGGGTGTATAGTGATTTGTGTTTTATATGTGGTATAATTTCATTGAATCTCTTTCCGACAATCAAGGTTTTGTGACTGTATCCTATTCCATTTCTTCAGCTTCGATCTTCATTTTCATTACAAAAAGTAAGTTTGTTTTTTTATATTTTACTTTTCAAAAGCTAGAGTATATTCTTTATTCAACCCACAATGATTTTATTCACAAAAACATCTGTCTTCAAGATGTTTGTATGACTCACTATATTAGAACATGTTTTTTTTGTGATACGAGTGATAATTTCGCTCGGCACCCGTTTTGCCGCTTTTAATTAGCACTTATTAGTAATTGCGAGTGCATTTTGCATAACGCATCTCCTTTCAAGTAGACAATTACACTTTGTGGCACATAAACAGAGTTTTTTTAGCGTTTCGGTTTCTACTACGAAATAATAGCATCGAAGTTATGTCGGATCGTAGATATCGTCAGTGTACAGGTGCCGGCATACTAGACATGCCTTGCGGTACGGGTTGGCTCTTGGCTGAAGGTTCAGGCCCCATCATTCTAATGGGGACGTCACAATTGCACCCTTAAAAATAATGTAACAATTAATTCCTGGTTACCATTTTTGAGAAACTGACAGACAAAATTATAAAATAAAACAATATTAATTTGTTTTTCTTTTTTTAAAAAAAAACAAACGAATGTTTCGAGCCCTACAAATCCCATGGTCAGCCATCATCATGGGACTTGTGAAGTATTTCCAATACAGTTATTTATGCTGATAATTTTTTATAATTTGCACCCTAAAAGTTAGTTTTAAAATTTTGCCACTATTGTTGAGGGCTTGTATTAAAAAAGATATCAGCAAAAAAGTTTGTACTTCTGTTTTGGTGCATACATTCAACTTTAGTTATTTTTTCCATTACGTCTAAAGCTCCTATTTTGTGTGTATAAGATGTGGGGATAATTGACAGTGGACTTTCAGTTATGCAAACTTTTTGCATACAGACTTCCATTCTAGAGATTTCACAAGACAAGATTGACTTTCCCATGAATCTAAAAGTTTTTGAAAAACCTGCCTTGGTGCCCATTAGGCAACAGTCAAGTCGAGTTTGGTGTGGATATCGCTCCATCGTTTTAAGTGACGATTCTGCCAACATTACGGTTTGAAGATTCAGTGCTATGTTGAGATGAATGGATGGTTTTTGAGAAGCTTTTGCAGTTTATTAAGTGTTATGATGAGAGAAATAGAAGGCAACAGTAGATAGCTTCACTTTCGAAATTATTCTTATTATATTAGGGTGGTTCCATTAATTGATATTGTGACCACCAGTAATTACAATTCAACTAGGCCATCAGTGTTAAAGAACTGAAGAATTCACTTGGCTGAACTATTTTGATGTCCTCATGTTGTGGCCTGTGCCTTCTTAGTATGGAACTTCATGCGCCAACGCATTTGCCTCATGGTAGAATCTACACTTTGTGTTTCCTCTCTGATCTTGGGGCTTAAAAAAAGCTATTAAACTATTTAAAGTGTGATGAAAGCTATCCTGTCACGAAGCTTACACTGCAACTCCAACCACTGCCTCTGGTAATGGTAAAAAGTAAATTACTTATGGTTTTTTGGGACAGCAGTTAGCCCCAGTCTGGCAAACAGTCACTGGTTTTAATCTAGCCAGTCCTAAGGATTTTTTCTCTGTGTTTGTATGTACAATCTTTGTATGAATAATTAGTAGTAGTATGAAACTATTTAATGGGTAAAAGAGAGAGGAGGTAAATATTTTATCTCCTTTCTCAATGATCTAATTACTTATGTAACAATAGACAGAAACAGAAAGTGTGTGAAATATAAACAATAAACATTGTTTGTTTTGTAATTTAGACTTTAGTTTTACTTATTCAAATAAGGATAGAATTTAGTTGCAGTAGAAATTCTTGTGAAAAAATTCGTCCAGAGAAGTACTCCCATTGTACTTATTTCTGCCACTAAGCAGTAATATGAGATTACTTCATTTTGGTCTTGAAGGGTAAGGGTACTGGAGACATTAAATCTCTAAGCTTTGCGACGTAAAGCTCGGAGGCACTGCAATTGCTACGGACAGTTGTGTCGTTTCACATCAGGCGCGCAACTTGTTCGTCCTGTCGCTTGGTGTCATGAAAAAAGTCATTAAACATTGTTTACTTTTGAAAAACTTGTCATAAGTTAATTATGCACTGTTCAATGAAACCAGTGGTACCACATTGCGAGAACAGTTGTCAATTGAGTGGTCAAAGGGATTAAACCCTTTCACGGCATGTAAACTACATTTGTGAATTTTTTTGTATCAATACGTCTCTTGTAGACGGACCCGGAAAACATTGTGCAGAAACCTCATGTCGAAGATGGTTTACAGCCTTTGCAAACCGTCTGAAATTCCCAACCCGCGTAGTATGGCATATACCGAATGTTCAGTAGCAGTAGAGCTCCTTGTGAAAGATTTCGTCCAGGGTAGTACTGCCACCTTACCTATTTCTGCCGCCAAGCAGTAATGTCGGCATTACTGTGTTCCAGTTTTGTAGGTTAATTTTGCTGTGAAGTTACAGGCACATGGGACTTGTCAACTTATGTCTCAGGGTGACGGGCGCAGTGGCCGTGTGTGCCCTTTATATCTTTGCGATTAAAAAAAAAGACACGGTGGGACGTTTTGTTGTTCCTGAATACTTATTTTAATAAAAATGTTTTTCCTAATATTTCATACCGTTAATAGAATAAAGCCACATCGTCGGGCATAGTGCAAAGGCGCGTATGTAGCATTGGTAAAAGAGGGTAGGTTAGGTAGAGGGTAAGTTATTACTTTGTTATTTCACTGGCTACGACTTTCATTTTTGCACAGTAAGCATTAATTTATGTTGTCTATGGACTGATAACAATAGATTCCAGTAAATCAGGCTACTTTGCTAGCCTCGTGGCTACGGTTTCGCGGATGTGGTTTGGCCACAACTGGTTACCTATCAGTACTCCGAATTTACATTTTCCAGAAATAACGTTTGGTCGGAATTTCATAACCTCGAAAGTAATTTTGAGAGGAAAATGTGTTTTCTTTTAAACCTATCTTTCTTTTTGTTAATTCGGGGGAATCTGCTTACAGATACCCCGTCCCCGCCGGGGCAACGCCGGAGTTATGTGGGACTGGGCTGAACCCTGAAGGGGAGCAGCCCGACCGCACTAAACCCCCGGAGTGTTCCTCCTCTCCGCTGTAGGTGGGGGTACGGGTACGCTGTTGCACTCGTCCGCGGCCTGCGCAGTCCCTCCCAGAGAAGGGAGACACATCGGTCCCCCGACTCCGAATGTGAGGCTTGCCGAACACCAGACGAGCCTTCCATCCCGGGCCCCTCTATGCTGGGCAACTCCAACTCCCCCGAGTCCGCTACCCAGGGGCCATGGGGGGCCAGGACAGTATCCACTCAACTGTGAAGTTCAATGGCTGCTCCCCCAGCCCCCGCGGCGGATCTGATGGCAGGCTCCGCCGCAACACCTAACGCGCTTCCGCGCGGACTCTCCGAAGAGAGTTCCTTGGAGCGCCCACCACCGACCAACCGACCACGTTTGGTCGCGGAGGACAGGACAAGCGGCAACAACACACCGACACGTCTCTTTCCCCGCGACTCTCCTCCCAACGCGCATCCGCGCGGTCCCGCTGACCAGACGAGTCCCGCGCGGAACGGCCTCCTCG